ACCTGCTGATGCAGGGGACACGGGCTTGTGCCCCGGTCCAGGAAGATCCCACATGCCGCGGAGTGGCTAGACTGGTGAGCCATGGCCGCTGAGCCTGCGTGTCCGGAGCCTGTGCTCCGCAACGGGAGAGGCCACAACAGTAAGAGGCCCGCGTACAGCAAAAAAAAAAAAAAAAAAAAAAATCTACAAACAATAAATTCTAGAGAGGGTGTGGAGAAAAGAAAACCCTCTGGCACTGTTGGTGGGAATGTAAATTGATACAGCCACTAAGGAGAACAGTATGGAGGTTCCTTAAAAAACTAAAAATAGAACTACCATGTGACCCAGCAATCTCACTACTGGGCATATACCCTGAGAAAACCATAATTCAAAAGGACACATATACCCCAATGTTCACTGCAGCACTATTTACAATAGCCAGGACAAGGAAACAACCTAAATGTCCAACGACAGATGAATGGATAAAGAAGATATGGTACATATATACAATGGAATATTACTCAGCCATAAAAAGGAACAAAACTGGATCATTTGTAGAGATGTGGATGGACCTAGAGTCTGTCATACAGAGTGAAGTAAGCCAGAAAGAGAAAAACAAATATCGTATGTTAACACATATATGTGGAATCTAAAAAAGTGGTACAGACGAACCTATTTGCAGGGCAGAAAAAGAGACGTAGACTTAGAGAACAGACATGTGGACACGGGGTGGAGGGGGAGGGTGGGACAAATCGGGAGATTAGGGTTGACATATACACTACCATGTGTAAAATAGCTAGTGGGAACATGCTATAAAGCACAGGAAGCTCAGATCGGTGCTCTTCGACACCTAGATGGGTGGGATGGAGGGGGTGCGGTGGTGGAAGGGAGGTCCAAGAGGGAGGGGATATAGGTATACATATAGCTGATTCACTTCCTTGCACAGCAGAAACTAACATAACATTGTAAAGTAACTATACTCCAATAAAAAAAAAGGGTGAGTGAGCTTTTGTGCTACTTTTCTTTTATCCTAATCATTGTATTTTTTTAGCCACTAGGAAGGAATTGGCATTTACTCAGTATTGCTGCTTTTCTCAAACTCTCATTTTCATGCATTAGAATTCTATTGCTAGCATGATCATTTTATTCCAATTACAAGCGAGAATAACAAGCTGCAGATAAGTAGATCTGAAAAATTCATTCCTTAGTAATTAAATAGACCATACCCTTAAACTTCCCTCCTCCCACCTATCTGAAGAAAGAATATTCAGAAAATACATTTTTTTTTTTTTTTTTTTGCGGTACACGGGCCTCTCACTGTTGTGGCCTCTCCCATTGCGGGGCACAGGCTCCGGACGCGCAGGCTCAGCGGCCATGGCTCACGGGCCCAGCCGCTCCGCAGCATATGGGATCTTCCCGGACCGGGGCACGAACCCGTGTCCCCTGCATCAGCAGGCGGACCCTCAACCACTGTGCCACCAGGGAAGCCCCAGAAAATACATCCTTTAACAACATACTTTGAAAACAGTATCTATAGTCACTGTCCAAGCCATCCTGGGGCATCCATCAGGACAATGAGCTTTGCCCTAGCCAAAGTCAGAGTTAAAGCAAAGGATAAGTTGGCTACAGCTGCTCATCATTCCCTGAGTAAAGAAAAACTGAGAATGAGCACTCCTAGCCACATCTCCTCCAAGTTTCCCCATCATTGGCAACTGCTATTTCCTCTTAACTGACTATAATTTGATAATTATTAAGGTGTAAAGTTGGTTCTTTTTTGAGGTTGCAAAATACGTCTATCACCTACTGGGATCAATCAGGGATCAGCATACCACAACTTTCTGCCTGTTTTGTACAGGCCACAAGCTAAAAATTATTTCCACACTTTCTGAAAAACCGAAAGAATAATAATATTTCATGATATGAAATTCAAGTATCAGTGTCCATAAATAAAGTGGAATGCAGCTCATTCATTCACATATTGTCATGGCTGCTTTCTCATGGCAATGGCAGAGCTGGAGTTGTGACAGAGACCTTACGGCCTGCAAAGCCCAAAATATTTATTATCTGGCCCATTATAGAAAAAATTTGCCAACCTCTATTCTACAGCATAAACCAGATCATATCTCTCTCTTGCTTAAGATTACCAACGACTTCCTATTTCAACCTAAATGGTGTACAAGGTCCTAAATGATCAGCCCATACTGTAACTTTCACATTCTTTGGTTATTCATTAAACTTCAGCAATGACTCTGGATTTTTTTTCCAGCTCCTTAAAACCAAGATAAGACCCAGCTCAAGGCCTTGGTACTTATCATTTCTTTTCCTTAGAAAACTCTTCCTCTAAATCTGCCTACAAGTCATCATTTAAATCTCACTTCTAAGGTCACTAATTCAGACAGGTATTCTCTCCCTCTCTATTTTAATGCACTTCCGCTCCCCATGCCCATCACTACTTTAACATTACTCTATTTTTATTAACAGCACTTATCAATACCCAAAATTATGTTACATTATATACCTGTGTGCATGTGTTTAGCCCACTTTTGTCCATTTCAATGTTACTCCTTGGAGATAAACCCTGACATGTTCATAACTTTATCCCCAGCACCCAGGACAATGCCAGACCCATAGTAGGTACTCAGTAATTGCTAATTTCTTCAATCATGCTGATTCTTAGATATCTAAAGTACAACTTAAGATATAACAAAACATTTTCAAATATGACTAAAAATCTGTAGTGTGATGTATGACTAAAGATAAAATATACTGTTGGACTCTACTAGCTTAACTAAAAGTTATAGTTTCCATTTTCTTTTTTTGTTTGTTTTGGTTTGGTTTGGTTTGGTTTTTGGCCACACGGCTTGTGGGATCTTAATTTCCCATTACACTCTATCTAAACTTTCGGTGGCATTTACAACTGTGTGCCCTGATTTTATAACTTGTTGAGTATATGTCAATCTAGGCCACTGGAGTGAGGCTCTAGAAGACAGACACAGGGGGTCCTGTTCTGAATTATATTAACCTATTAGAGAAGTGGAGTAGTTAATGCTTAGGGTGTAACCTTTGTGCCTTACTTTCCTCAGCCACAAAATGGAAATAAAAAGTTTCTATCTTATAGTGTTGTTGTGACTATTAAATAAGCCAAAACACACAAAGTACTTAGAACAGTACCTGACAGAGAGTAAAGGGAAAATAAACGTTAGCTATGATTATCTATGCTTTTTACATCTTTGTAAACTCACCAAACCTAGCAAAATGCCTTGCATATATTGAGTTCAAAATACATCGATTGAATAGAATTGAGTGAAATCCAAGAACAAAAATTCATAATAGGGTGAATGATACAATCATCCTACAAAAAATGCATTCAGTGCTTGCTGTGCGTCAAATACTCTGTTAGACCTAGGGACACCCGTGAACACAAGAGGAAAAGGTTTAATATATGACTATCACTTGTTAATTTTCCTCCATTTACTGAGCAGGGGCTCAGTGTGAGGCAGGGGTAATGTGTGAGGCAATTTTTTTTCTATGTATTACTCTGAATGTGTGTGTGTGTGTGTGTATCTCCTGGTTGCAAATGCAACCATTTCTTAAACAATCTTGCCAGTGGAGGCAGCAGTAAATAATAATGAATAAATCAATACATCATATGTGGCACAACAAAAAGAATTTAAACTTTCTGCCTTATTATTTCTTAAAAGATTTGAATTCCTAACTATTCTTTCCCTAGAGTAAATTTAAACTCGTATATAATCCAAAAAAGATACACTAGGATTTGCCTCAAAGAACCTCAAAAGGGCGGAGAAAGAAAAAATGTTTAAATAAATAAGGTAAATATTTTATTTTTAGTTATGACCTATCTGTAGTATAAAACAAAACAAAACAAAAAAAAAGCTAGAAAGACTAGAATTGTTCTCTTCAGGTGCGTGGACTGGGAACCTCCTTTGGTCAGGTGGGATCCAAGCTTGGAAACTACAGGCTGAAGCACGAGGCCAGCGCAGCTCATCAAGCGGGGACAGCACTGGGCCCTCTAGGATGATCCAAACAGGAAGGCAGAAACGGACACGACATCCTTCTGGCTGAGCCCGGGGACGTAAAGGGAGGTCAGGGCAGGGGTGCAGGGAAGCATACCACATTGGAAAAGGAAATTCCGACGTCGGATCGCTGCACTCTGAGGAGCATCTGGTTCCCGTCGTCCAAGAAGTTGTTGATTTCAGGACTGTTGTACAGCAGCGGCTGGTCCCAGGATTCCGACACCAGTCCAAAGTAATTCTGAGTAGTAGTAAAGATGAAAAGCTTCCGAACGTCCCCGGTTCCGCCCGCCATGATTCTAGAGAAGGGGAAAGGGGAGGGAGGGCGGCAAAGAGGGAAGGAGGAAAAAAACAGTCGGGACAGAAGTAAAGAGAAGATGAGAACTTGGCCCAAATCCGGAGCTCGCCTGCGGGCCTTCGGAGCTCTGCGGTTGCCACGGGCAGTCGCTATGGCGACGGAGCACTACGGCGGCGTGCGGTGGGCGTTACCATCTCGGGCACGCGCACGCAAAGCTCTCGGAGAGGATCGATCATTTAGGAGCTCCTTAGCTGCTCGCCGCGGTCCTCGATTGCAAAGGATTCAGGCAAGTTTGTGTCAGGTCGCAAAATCTGCCTTTAATGCTTTCTACTGACTTCTTATAACGCATAATTAGAAGAGATACCTCTACTCTTAAGTGCAGCAGTATGACAAGGATTTAGGATGGCTGGGGTTCTAGTGCTCCCTCTTCCCCTTCCCTCGTTAGCAAACCACTCTGTCAACGTCAAGTTCCACATTTGTAAAATAGGGAAATACTATCTGGGTTATAATGAGGACTTTAAGAGATTACTACTTAAGCACCGCTTTTTAAAAAGGCTAATAAAGAATAGGAGTTCAATACAACGTTAATTTACTTTCTCCATCTTACTCTGCTCGTTTCTGTGTTAATTTCCCACCATTATTTTAATTTTGTTATCCTATTATTTCAGAAAAATGTTATTATTTCACCAATTTTTCATCACAATCGTTATCAGAACACACAGCCATATTGTAAACTAACCAAAACAGGCAGTGATACTTGTTAATTTGTTTTATAACAAGCATAACCAAATGCTGAAGAAATACAGACGTGAAATCAGCCTTCATCATTTTCTACCCCATGGCATCACTACAAACTACTAAATTGCTGGTCATTTATCCCAATATTCATCAAAGACTCTCCGAATTCAATAATTATCTTCTAAAAATATTTACCGCATGCTGCTATATGCCAAGTAGTGAACTAGGCCCTGGAGACCATAGTCTCTGCCCTCATAATCAGTCATCATCTCAGCCCTGATTTGAGCCATTATCCTACGGAAAATAAACACATACCAATTTTTTTATTTGCACTCAGTAATCACTACTATATTCTTTTAGAATTAGAAAGAAGGTCTTTTTATCTGCTGAGCATCTTGATTAAGTTTGAGGAATGGAAACTAAAGAAAGCTGAAGTGCTTTAAATTATAAAGGGAAATGAATTCAAATTCTTACAAAATAATCCAAAAGATGGGAAGGGAGTCAGTGAGGTAGAATGCTGGCAGCTGGATGGGAAAAAATCCAAATAGCAACCCAGGGTGACTGGATAGCAAAGGATTTTGAAAGCAAAAATGGCTAATATGGATACAGAGATTCTTGCTCTGCAATGGGCATTATGATCCTTACCAGGGCCTTAAGGAAAGTCTCCATTACTCACAAATGCTTAGTCTGGGTGAGTTATTTTGGTGGAGATGTGTGAAATGGCTGAATTAAGCATCCATGGCAATGTGAATAAAAGTGAATAAAAAGGCAACACATGTAGGGAGATGAGTCTAGAAAGCAGCTGAAATCATGAGAATCTCATCCTCCCAGGAATTTTTAGAAATCTTGGATGGGCTTTGGACTTCCACAAGATATGAAATTTGAGTGTTTTAATCAATTTTAACCCAGATGTCAAAAAACATTTTAAGCTAGATGTCCAGTTGACATGTAAACCCCATGTGGGTAGGGATTTTGTGTATCTTGTTCACTGCTGTATACCCAGACTTAGGCCTAGAGTGGAAAACAAGACAGATAAAGTCCCTGTGCTCATGAAGCTTCAATAAAGAAGAAAGAATCTCAGAGATGGTAAGTTATAGAATGAAGATTCATACCCAAATCCAATTCTCAATCAATCTCTAGACACTATTTCACAGTGGTAGGCAGCAGGCTAGTCACTAACATCATATCTCCCCTTTCACAGCTAAGAAGTGTTTACCATCCAGGTGTGGACGTTAACTAATTCTCACCAATGAAATGTGAGCAGAAGTAGTGTGTGCCACTTCCAAGGCAAGATTTTAAAGAAGTAAGTATACTTTTACCCTTTGCCAGCTGGATGCAGCTAACAAAGCATCAAGAGATGGCAGAACCATGAAAGAGTCTGAACCAGGGCTTCTGAATCACAGTGTGGCATAAAGCCAGCAATTGTTAAGCAAGAAATAACTTTTATTGGGCTTCCCTGGTGGCGCAGTGGTTGAGAGTCCACCTGCCGATGCAGGGGACATGGGTTTGTGCCCCAGTCCGGGAAGATCCCACATGCCACGGAGCGGCTAGGCCCGTGAGCCGTGGCCGCTGAGCCTCTGCGTCCAGAGCCTGTGCTCCGCAACAGGAGAGGCCACAACAGTGAGAGGCCCACGAAACCTTTATTGTGTTTGAACCATTTTATATTATACATGTGTGGGTCTATTTTTTAATAGCAATTTAGGCTAACTAAATTGCAATTTACTCACTAACCAATGAGTAACTGATATCAGCAGTAGGGTGCTGTTTAAAAAAAATTAATGTGGAGCATTTGTTTAAAAGTTGGTTAGCAGGTGGCATACAAACAGATAATGTGAGCCAGGGCACAAAACCTTTCTGAACCAAGGATTCCTAACTTTTTTCGATATTTACATGTATCAAACCTCTTGGTGTCAGGACTTATTTATACTTTAAAAAAGTATTGAAGCTTCCAGAAAATTTTTGTTTCTGTGCATTATTTCTGTCAACATTTACTATAATAGTCATTCAATGTGAGACAAATTTTAAAATATTCATTTATTCATCAATTTAAAAATAATAAGCCCATGACTTGTTAACATAAATAATGTATTTTATGAAAATAATTATAATTCCCAAAACAAAATTAATTTGGTCAGAAGAGTGGTATTGTTTTACATTTCTGCAAATCTCTTTAATATATTCCTTAGTGGGAGATCCTCTATCTACTTCTGCATTCCATCTCTTGCAATATGTTGTTTTGGTTGAAGTATATGGAGAAAACACAGATAATGTAGTTGGAAAGCAGAAAGAACTTTATAATCTTTTCAGATAACTGTGAGTATTCTTCTTTGTTACTAAACCAAAACTCCACAAATGGTAGTTTCTTAAAGGACAGTTACAGTTTGGAATCTGGAACCATATCAATCAACATTTCATACTCAACTACATTAAAATCCATTGGTCACTTGCACTCTGAATGTATATTTTACCCATGCATAATTTTGTAACATCATGCATTGATCATTTGGAAAATATTTGAGCTATGCAAATCTTCTAAATGTTGATACCTTTTACTGTGCAATATTTAAAAATCACATTCGTTAATAAACCACTGATATCATAAGAAAAAGTCTTTATGTATGGAGAGGTTGTCAAACTTACAGTAGAGAGTTTAAGTTTTCCAAAATTCTAATTTTTGCATGAAAGCCTGAATTTCATCATTGTCAACAAATACTGTCAGTTTTTTCCTTGAAATGATAGGCTTATTTCATTCATTTTTGAGGAAAAAAAAGTCTGCCAAATATCCAAATCTTAATAATCATAGTTTGTCATTCTTTCAAGTAAAAATTGCCTTCAGTGATAAAAGCTGCTAGTTTTGATCACAATTCGAACAGTCACACAAGTTCTTTTTTTTAAGGCAAACTGTACTTCATTATGCAGCAGAAGTGCTTTATGGTGTTTCATCAGTCGGAATATTAAAATGACTTGTACTCAAGTTTTGAGATCTGATAAAATTATTTACTCTATCATTGAGGACATTCGTAAGTGAAACTGGAATCTTTTCCTGTGAGTACATGGAAGTGAAGAATGGATGACTACTAAAACATTTTGGTGCCTTGATTTGTGCCAAGGTGTCAGCAGTTTAGCCACTATATTCGTTTTCCATTGCTGCATCACAAATTGCTACAAACTTAGTGGTCTAAAACACTACCCATTTATTAGCTTGAAGTCCTGTCCATTAGTAGTCTGGGAACTGCATCTCTGGTCCTCTGCTAAGGGTATTACAAGGCTTAGTTCAACATGTTGGCCAGGCTGAGTTCTCATCTGGAGTTTAGGGTCCTCTTCCAAGTTCATATAGCTGAGACAGAACTAGATTCCTTGAAGTTGCAAGACCTAGGTCCCCATTTCTTTGCTGGCTATAAGCTGGAGGCACCTTCAGCAACTAGAGGCCACTGCATTCTTTACCTGCATCTTCAAAGCCAACAATGGAGAACTTTCTTACACATCAAATCTCTCCTGTGCTTCAAATCTCTTATAACCCAAAGGGCCCCATTCCTTTTAAGGTTTTACCCAATTAGATCAAGCCCAATGAATAATCTCCTTTATTAACTCAAAGTTAACTGAGTAGTAAACTAAAGCATGGAAGTGGTAGCCCACTATATTCACAGGATTTGCCCACATTCAAGATGAGAAGGTTATACAAGGTGTGCCCACCAGAGAGTGAAACCTCGGGGCTGTTTTAGAATTCTGCCCACCATTACTTTTACACCATCAAATGTCAAGCACAGTGAAAGAGGCACAAAATGTCTTACTATTGTGGAAATAGTTTGACCTCACAGACCCCTAAAAATAACTCAAGTTTTCCCAGGTTACCACCGTTCTAGATGATCTCTTAAGTTATCTGTATCTATTTTATGAAAGTGAATAGAGGAAAAAAAACGTTTTCTGTTTTATCCATTATGTTTGACAAATATTGGGCAAATTATATTAAAAACATAATGATGGTTAAAAAATATTGCCCCACTTATTAAATACACTCTTTATACTCTTATTCAATTGGAAGAAAAAATACCATAAGATTGTTATAATATCATTTTTCATATTAAATAATAGTCATCTTGGGCTTCCCTGGTGGCACAGTGGTTGAGAATCTGCCTGCTAATGCAGGGGACACGGGTTCGAGCCCTGGTCTGGGAAGATCCCACATGCCGCGGAGCAACTAGGCCCGTGAGCCACAACTACTGAGCCTGCGCGTCTGGAGCCTGTGCTCCGCAACAAGAGAGACCACAATAGTGAAGAGGCCCGCGCACCACTATGAAGAGAGGCCCCCACTTGCCGCAACTAGAGAAAGCCCTCGCACAGAAACGAAGACCCAACACAGCCAAAAATAAATAAAAATAAATAAATAAATAAAAGATTACAAAATTAAAAAAAAAAGAATAGTCATCTAATTACTATCCTTAGACACTGTTGGGGGAGCTATACATGAAAGAATGTAATTTCAGAACCTCTTCTTCACACTTAGAGAAGCTGAAACTTACTCTAGGGCATAGTATTTACAGATTTCAATCACCAGTACAATGAAATATATATTCTAATATGACATTTAATGTTCAACTCAAATACTTAAATATGTTTACCTCTATACATTTTTATGTGTACCTGTGGAATAATAGTCTATTTCTCCAAATTCTGCTCCTAAGTCAGAAAATAGCCATTAACCATTACACCTGACTCTAATAGGGACCCAATACTTCCTGTAGTCAATTGTACTGAAAATATAAGGGGAGAGGAAGGAGCCATGTAAATAAAGGAGTTAGTGTTTATCAGTTCATACATATAAATGAAGATGATTCTTGCATTTGCACTTCTGTCTACTTCCATTCCCCAGACTAATCCTGGACATGGTTGAGGAGGTGGGGGAATGGGCCAGAAATGTGGTAATGTGGGGATGATTTTCCCCAATCTCCACTAACAAAGAGAATCAGAAACAGACATTGGTGGAGAACAAAATCAAAGTGTGGAGCTCCTTGCAGACAATACTCTTGGGTTTCACTATAAGAAAATACAGACACTATGATTAAATAAATATTTTGAGTCTTCTATCAGATGTTAAATACTATTTATTTGAATGCTAGTGCTTCATTATATATTAAAAATTAAATATCAAAGTTAATTGTAAACTTTTTGGTAAAAACTGTTTCTACTTCTTGAGCTTTGTTTTAAATTACCTTATATAGGAGTTCCCTTGAATAGTCACAATTGTTTTAGTTGAAAATATATCTTATTGGTATTGAGTGAAAAGAAACCTTGTGGCTCTTAAAGTTTATGCACATCAATTCCATTTACATTTTGTTGGCCAACCAAGCCACATAGTAACATCTAATTGCAAGCAGGCAGGAAAGTGCTATTGTACCTTGTGCACAGAAAGAAAGAAAGCTATAAAATATCTGAGAACAGTTCTAATGACTACCTTCTAACATATTTCAAGTTAAGGAAAAAAATGTTGCTTGGACTAAGCAAGATAAACTGTGCGCTTTCTTTTTCCTCTGCCATAGTAACCAATAATGTTCTAGATAGTGACATTTGATAGATATGTCAAATCTAGATAGATTTGTTCTAATGACAAAGAACAGGGTCCCCAGCTGACCCTTGACCAACATGTAGTGTGAGCAACAAACAAATTTTGTTGTCTTAAACAACTGAACAATTGACTTCTTTGTTTCTCTGCCCTAATCTAGCCCATCCAGACTGCTACAGATAAGATGTGTACTCACCCACCCCACTGTCTCACACCCTGACCATTTCACTAATTTACGTAGCCTACTTGCCCCTGTAGGCATGTGAGTTTGTAAAGCTGTTTTACAGTATGTTGTCTTAATAAAGTCTGTTGCACCTATAACTAGTTACATGATAATCATTTGTCTAATAAATATAGCGCTTTTAATTTTGCCTTTCAGTGTAATGAAGTATGCTAGTGAACCTACTGTTTTAAGGTTCTCAGTATAAAAAAACTTTCAAAACGTATTACTATAATAGGTAATCTTTTCCTCTATAATTGTTGTAGGAAGGAGGACCCCTTCCAGGGCCCAAGAGTGTCTAACACTCGGAAATGAATTGTCCAAGGAGACACATGTACTGACAAAGCAAAAGACTTTATTGGGAAGGGGCACCCAGGTGGAGAGCAGTAGGGTAAGGGAACCCAGGAGAGCTGCTCTGCCACGTGGCTTGCAGTCTCAGGTTTTATGGTAATGGGTTTTGCTTTCCAGGTTGTCTTTGGCCAGTCATCTTGCTTGTTGCCCATACTTGGACTGAATCAGGGTC